GCGGAGCATCCGCTGCCAGCAACGCTGCGCCACCGAGTCTGCAGACACTGCTTGTGCCTTCCGGTTGCATGAACAATGCACATCTCTGGCATTCTCTGCTCAGCTTTGCTCACCAGCCTGAGATGCAAGCGACTTTTTTCAGGGCAACCGGTGCACTACGACTTTGAAGCTTCTTGGTGGCTTCCTGCAGCGACGCCTCGCAGCCATCAAAGTCGTGCTTTATTTGCTCCTTTTCGCGGCGCCTGTCACGCAAACATCAGCATGGTTGCATCCACTTGAAGCCCAAGCCGAAAACCCCGGGATTTTGCTCGAGAGTGTTATGCAGCACATGCTTGCATCAGAAGCCACCGGAGCCGCATCGCGACTGCGCAGGACCCAAACCAAGGCTTTGGCGCTCAGCCGACGGCATTTCGTTCGCCACGCGGAAGGCCGCCTGCAACTCCCAGGGCCGAGGGAGCACTGCTCTTCCAGAACGTCGCAAGAGCCGGTTTTGCAAATCACGCTTTGGGGCCTCGATCGCTTGGGAGTAGTTCAGCCGCGGATCGCAATAGGTCTCGTAATTCTTCGTCAGCCTGAGACATGCCACTCACACTTTCTACCTGCTTCACATCCAGCATCATTGCGAGCATGCAGAAGGAAAAAGCAGGTAATGAGCGTCGGGCATCTCTTCCGACACTCCCATGGAACCACCGACCTTATGCCAGGGATGGAAGGCTGGGGTCTCTCTAAGCATGCGAGTGGCTGCCGGTTTTTGATCGCAAGTTGCAAGCTATATAGGGATATGTAAAACTATATATACATATATACACATATGTAGACATTATGTATAGGGGAGAAAACAAAAACAATCGATGCTTCTAGGGAGCAGGGCATCTGGGGGTACTCTTGCTAGTCTGCTGCAACCCCACATTGTCAGTGGAACCATGGTGGAACCATGGTTGCTGCAGTCGTTTGTGGCACCAGGGCTACAGCTACGGTCTGCTGGGGTAGCATTACGCCTAGGATTTTGACCTCACCAGCGCGTGCTTTCCGAGTTACAATGAGTGTGATGCAAACAGTTAAGCTTCTGGCAACCTCTGTCACAGAAGTCTGGCCAGTCACCTGTCTCATTCTTGAGGCACTGTGATCTACGGAACATCAGCGCTGGACAACGCTGGCATATGCCGGCACCACGCGTGCAAAAACAATCATGGATGTCCATGGGAGTACAGGGATACATGCGAGAGCCTCCAGGTGAATGCCACCCAGGACAGAGCCGCAGCGCTTGTGGATGGCCATGACCTACCCCAAAAAGCAAAACGGAAGGCCCTAAACCCTAAACCCTAAACCCTAAACCCTCAAAACCCTTAGGAAGGCCTACTATGGAGCGAGGCCAGCAGAGAAGGCCGACAGAGCGGGCGATGTTTATTCCGAAGCGAGAAGATGCCGGCCATTCCGCGGTTCGGGATCGCCCCCAGGACTCGCACATCTGCGCTGAATCGCAGCGTTCTGGAAGGCCAGCAGGCCAGCGTGAGGCGAGCACGTACCGGTTCACTTGCAGAGAAGTCTAGAATTTCTAGACGTTGTTAGTCCATCTGCTTCTTTCCGGCACTCGTGCCCCTGAGGATGGGGCAGCCTCCGCAATGAAAAGCATGGAAACTCAGTGTATCCAGTTTGAAGAGCACATGTGTCTGAACTCCTCTTTTCGGGTACATCTTCAATCCAAAATGCCCGTACTACAGTAATTCCTTTCTTTCAACTACGATGAGGCTCTGGGCTTTGGGGGCCTATTGGAATGCTGGGTGCTCCATGCTGGTCTACATTGATGCATCAAAAAACCTGCAAAGGGCCCTAAACCCTAAACCCTGAACCCGTTTAGTGTCTGCTGCCGCCACGCTGGCCTGGCAAGTTCGTGCTGCAAGTGCAAGGCACTGTCTTCTGCATGCCCGCACTTGAATCATTGCCCCACTTGTTGGGTTTCCACACCTGCATTCTTAGCTGCAGCCGTGATTGGCCATGTACTTGGAATCTTAACAAAAAAAGCACAACGCACGACCTGAGGCGTTCCTCAAGTTCACATACAGCTCAGCTGAGCAATCAGAATCTTCTACCGGCTGCCTCAGCCAATGAGTGCAAAATAACCCAAAAGGGAAACCCGAAACCCATAAACCCTATGCTATAAACCCTATAAACCCCAGAAACCCTAGAAACCCTAAGTCCTAAGCCGTCAAGCAACAATGCCTCCTGACATCTTTGACCGTTCGCGGCTGCAGCTGCACGGCTCATCACCCAAACACCAAGCCGAGAGCAAGAAGCGTATCCTGCGATTCCTTTTGCAAAGAGAATATGAAAAGAAATATGAAAATTAAATATACATATAGTTAAATAAATAAAAAAAATATACATATATGTATATATACATATATATATATAGGTATATACGCAGGGAAGCGTTGCAAGATGTAAGGCTGTGAGCACAGCGACATCCCAGGTACGCACCCGGCTCTGGAATCTTGTAGTCCAGCAACTTCTGACCGCAGGCTGGCCTCATGTGCAACATCCATGGGCCTGCTAATATCTCGGGATCCAGCAAGGTCTTCGAACACATTCAGACTATTCGACTATCGTCTGCCGACCTGGGTCATGGTTGCTGTCGAGTATTGCGGTGCCAGGAGATTCAACTCTTTTGCGCCCGCCAGCATAACGGCTGGCAGGGCGCGGGCTGTCCAAGTGATTTTCGCGAGGAGCTCTGGGCCACTTAGCGCATCTACAACTTGTAGAGATGCACTGTCTCTGCACGACTACATACCACATATACTGTGGAGATCAAGAATTTCAGAGAAGAGCCCGCGTTTCTTCTTTCGGAGATCAGGGGAAGTAAGTAATGAGACTCTGCAACTCTTGAGGCGGTGGTCCAGAGCTACAGCCATCCACAAGGTGCCCGAAGGGGTATGGCTCCACCATGATCCGCTTTGGGCTTTAGCTGACAGCCCCCTTCACCTTTGGACCTCAAGCCGGCGTCACGCAAGCCCAGGCGATGGCCTCGTGTGCACCGGCCTGGGGCCATGGTATTTATCGACACAAGTGGGGCATGGGACAATGGCCATGCTTCGGCCGCTCAGCACCACATCGCGGGACTAAGAAAGGAACCAGGTGACAATAGCCGGACCTTCACTTCTTGACCACTGCAACAGACAGTGTCCTATGACTGAAATGTCATGTTGTACAAACCACCGATTGGGGTTGGCAGGACCACGACGTCGGGCTGGCAACTTCTTCTTCGGAGTTCACAAGCCTCCCTTGCAAATAAAACACGTAACTGGAGGGTTACAGCAGACGAGGAAAAGTAACCTTTCGGGCGAAGCGCCCTTTGCCTGTCAAAGCTCAAAGGTCATGTCTGCTCTAAATCCGGGAGCCGCAGCAGCTGCCCTGAATTTTCTAGCACTGTGTGTCCTCGATGTCGCCATGTCAGCGGAGCAACCAAGAGCTCTTGAAGCAAGCCAAGGTCCAAGTTGGGTTTAGGGTTTAGGGTTTGGAGTTTAGGGTTTAGGGTTTAGGGTTTAGGAACAAACTCCAACTCAATTTCTGCTCGCAGGACCATTAGGCCATCATTAGGCTGAGTAGGCAGCAGTTTTGTCTAAGGTGATCCCTGCTCAACCGCTTGTCTCGGTGTAGGTGTGCTAGCACACGAAGTGGTCAAGCCTCTCTCTGCCTCGAGAAACTCGCCAAGATGCAGGCTGCAATTTTTGCAAAGAGGAAAAGGTCAAATAAGCAGTCCCGTCACAAAGTCTACACTCTAGTCCTGTCTTGCCCGGTAGTCGCTCTTGATCATCGAGACAGACAAGAAAAAAACGACGTGAGCCCACCGTCACGCAAGAGTTCAATCGCGCGCATGGAAAAAAAGCTCCGAAACGTGCAACCTAGGAGACCTAAGCGCATGAACTGCGGACAGCGTCTCACATCCGTGCCACTCTACAAGGGTGGGCAAGGCGGCTTCCTGGTCAAATGAGGCTTCTCAATCTCATCCTTGCGCTACGAATGCTTTGTGTTCTCGAAGGCGGCCTCAAATCACCACCTGCACCTTGTCTGTGATGTGTAAGGCCACAGGAGCAGCACAAGATTGCACAAGCATGCAAGGCATCGTGCACGCCCTGACCATCTTGCACCTTCAGGGTTCACGGCAGGAAACGCTCCCCAAGGAAAGCCCCCTGCTAGGAGTTCGCAACGCTCGCAATCGCAATCCTCACCCATAAGGTGCGAAACGCATCTGGCCCTGGCTTCGACAAGAAAGCATTTCGAGTGAGAGTTGTTGCTCGCCGAGCCACACGAGATCCAAACGAGCGGTCCAGCTCTCTTGCTAAGTCTCACGAGCACACGGCGTACGCAACCATCCGTGTCCAAGAAGTCTGTGCCCTTGACATTGGCATAGCGGAGTTGAAGTGGAGTGCAAGAGCTTCAACAGATGCGCCCCCCCCCCCTCCCCGCCCCAACCCCCACCCCCTCCCAGCCCCACCTACCACTCCCCCTTACTCTCCCAGAACAGCCTGAGTCTGGCGACTTGTGCAACAACTCTCAGCCTCCAGCCCGAGGGCAGCAGGCCAAGTCCCCATCGTCACAACCATGTACTCGAAGCTTCTACTACAGTTATTTCGGGTTTAGGGTTTAGGGTTTAGGGTTTAGGGCTTCGGGTTTCGGGGGCTAGCTGCTGAACTGGCTTCGACCTGCTGCTCCTCGGGATACGGCGGCGAGAAACCGGCATGCCATGGTCGCTTGAGATGGGAACTTAAATTCTTGGGCGCGAGATTTGCGGCCTTCCCATGGAACCAACAGTGTCGGAAGCATCCATCTCCCCGCCTATGGGTGGCAGAGATAGCATCCTGGCTTATGCTGTAGCCGGTGTCAATTCTACACGTCGGATCAAAGTTGAGGGTGCCAGGTAGCACTGACCGCACTTCAGCGCCCAAGAAACTGTAAGAACTAAAGGCGCTCTTCAGCATCCTCTTCTTGAAGCTCCTTGCTTCTCACATCGTATTAGCCTGCAGTGCTGTAAGCATTGCTGACAGCATCCATGCTTGTAAGGCCATGTTCATCTTCACCTCATATCTCCATGACAAAGGAAACCAAATGCAGGTGCAGGCCAGGGTGCATTGCGCAGCATCTCGGCGCACACCTCAGCATCCATATGAGGTGTTAATGCCACATAGCTTGGAGCACCGGCTGGGCTTCTTTGCAGAAGCTTGCACCCAAATTTACCAGCATCTTGTTGACTATCGAGTTCTCGTAGCTCTGAGATCCGGTCTGGAAGACTCGCTGAGTAATCTATGACATCACCCGAGCCTCAGGTGCTGCATGACGACTCGGAATGCTTGAGCAGTCCACGGCCGGCCCCCATACCCCCCATACCCCCCACTTCTACAGCTACACATTGCTCAGGCCCAAGCATGAGTCTTGACTCGGGTGCCGAGAGATGTCAGGCGTGTGCCAGCCGCGGTTGAGGGCTGGCGGCCTCAACAGCGACTTCTGATTGGTTCGGATACCATCACTTTCCGGGATTCGAGATGTCGCCACCGAAAGGCTTAGACTCATCACTGCTAAAGCTTCTAAAGCTGCTAAAGGCACAAAAATTCCCACACCAGCTGCTACCAGCACGTTGTACCTGCATCTCTCTCTCGGTGAGAGCAAGCGGCAGAAAAAAAGAGCAATCCCCTTGAAAGGCAGCTGCTTAACCCGTGCACATTCCTTACTAAGTACCATGAACCTCCAAGTAGACTGTGCTGGTGCAGTATGGCCTGAAGCCGTGGTGGCCATGATCCGGGCTCTGCTCAGCCCTGAGATCAGAGGGCGTCAGCAGAGGGGGGTGCGGTTTAGGGTTTAGGTTTACGGTTTCCGGTTTCGTGCTTTTAGTGCCACCCGTCCGGCCATGCTCCACGGGGCAACTGAAGGGGGAATGCTGTACGGTTTAGGGCTTAGGGTTTGTGGTGTAGGGTTTAGGGTGAGGGTTCCAGCGACTGGACACTCTGAGGCTGCGGGTCTTGGCATGGACTTGGGGGGTCAGAGGTGCTAGACAAGATTCGAATCCAAAGAAATCTGTCTTGTGAAGTCCTTCTCGTCCCCACCTCACTGAGTCAGATGCAGGAGCAGGTTCTCAATACTTGGCGAGAGAGTTCAGGCTGAGGAACAGAACTCAGGCACTTGATATGGGATAATGATGATGTCATGCAAGTGGATGCGGGGCTGTACCATATGGGGCAAGGAAGAAGCAATGCCGGCAGAGTGCTGAAGATACGAAAGCACATGTCAAGACATGGTCAGTTCCCTAAATTATGGTCCCTTTTTGGGTGCCCTAAACAAGAGGGGCCGCCTTATAATAAGGACCCCAAAAGGGACCATATTTTCGAGAATTACCACATGTCACTACACGGCACATTGTCACTGCTGCGCGAGTTTGCAGAGCTCACACGTCGTGCTTTTACGTGTGTAGAGCACACGACAGCTGCTGCAACCGAAGCCTGAGACGTTCAAAGTCCGGGACTGAACTCGCGACTCGGATGCCTGGAAGGCACGTGCATGCATTCATCGTCGCACCACCCACTACTTGTGGCTTGGGGAAAAGGGGTGCTCCAAATGTACTCCCCGAAAAAATCTCATCCTACATAATACCCCGCAGAAGGGCACCCCCCGCCCCCCCCACTATATTACGATAATAAGGGAGCCTAATATAGACCCCCAACTAGTAGGATAAGGTACCCCTACCTTCGGAAACCCCCACCCTAAACCCTAAACCCTAAACCCTAAACCCTAAACCCTAAACCCTAAACCCTAAACCCTTACAATAAGGACCCCAAAGAAAGGGTACCCCTATTCTCGGAACCCCCCCCCCCCCCACACCAGATCCCTGTTTACAGCAGGCCTCGGTTCACAGCACATAAACCTAAACCCTAACCCTAAACCCCCTAAACCCTAAACCCTAAACCCCCTAAACCCTAAACCCCAAACCCTAAACCCCCCCCCCCGCCCCTCCCCACACCAGATCGCCACGCGAGAGACCTGGAGATGTCCGGCGTGCGCCATCCTCGGTTCAGAGCTCGGGGCCTCAGTGAAACGAGATGTGGGTTTAGGGTTTAGGGTTTAGGGTTTTGGGTTTTGGGTTTTGGGTTTGGGGTTTCGGGTTTCGGGATTCGGGTTTCGGGCCTGGGGTTGGTCAACCTGAAGAACCCAAAACCTGCTTGTTTGTAAGTTCTGACGATCAAAGCCCCTTATTCTGGGATTCTTAGCCAAGCTACAGGTTTTGGGTTCCTAAGGTGGGTCAAGGCATCTGACATGGCCGGCTGAGCTTGCAGACATTCCATGCTGATGTCCATGCTGGGCTGTACGGACCTCGGTGGTTGGGAGCAAAGGCGACCGGCAGAAGTTGCGGGCATGCGGTTTGCCACATCGCTCGGCATGCTCGGCCACGTGCCGCGTGAAACCTCTGGGATGGCTTGTAGATCATGCCCGGCTTCTTGGGGATCTTCTTGCGGCCTGTGCACGACCCACACACTAGTGCACGCACACACATGCGCACGCTGCATCTCGGCATCGTGGCGACGACATCTGGTGTCATCTGCTGAGCTGTTCTAAAACATCCTCTCTGGGCTCAGCCTCACATAGGCCCATGCCAGACTTTGGCTACACTTGCTGCGCCCACCTTTTTTGGACTTGCGCCCCACGGACGTGAACTCGTACGCCCTGGAAATCCTTTTGCGAAGGTTGTCCCCCTCTTTCTCACCTGGGAAGCATTAACTCTGCATGGCTCACAGGCAGGAGGATACTCCCGAGGACTGCGACTATTCTCTGCCAATCCATGTACCCGCACAACAGGATGCATCTGAAGCAGGAAGCTGCGAATCCCATCGGGCCCTCGCTCTCTCTCGCAGCCCTCTGGCAGCTACCCGACATTGCAAGTATTTGCCTTTGAAGCACGAATCTATGGGCCATAACAGGTGTACAGCACACTTAGAATTCTTTAATTTTGCTGGACTAGCCCGAGATCCGCACAACTCGTCGGATCCCCATCTGGGCCCAGCTCCATGATGGCTTGAACAAACCTTGGTCTACGGACCCCGCAAGTCAAAGACACAGAGCCCTGACAAGCCCCGACAATCTGTAAACATGCACGGTACCAACAATACTAACTGTCATATTAATCATATACGAACAATTTTAATTGCATGAAGAATATTTTTAGAAAAAGTACACCATGTTCACAATATTCAGAATGATAGTATCGAAATCTGAGCCGTATCTCAGTCCTTGCTCCGTGTGGGCGGGGATCCGCATTAGTCAGCAACTCTTTGTCGAGACTGGACTCGAAAGCCCGTGCGCAAGCCGGCAACGCGTGTCAGACGCGCATGGCGCACGCCAATGTTAGGGTTTAGGGTTGAGGGTTTAGGGTTTAGGGTTTAGGAAGCCAGTTTCCAAGCAGCTCATCGTAGTCGATCACGCCGGAATGCTTGTAGTCGACCTCATGCTACTGAAGTGCAGAGCAGGTCCCGAGCCAACGTGCAAAGCGATGCCAAGGGATTTCGAAAGCACCCGAAGTGCAACAAAACCAACCGGCCCTTTCCCAGTCATCGTTGATTGCAGATACTCTTTGACAGCTTCGCTCTGCATGTCTTCTTCCCTCAAAAATTAATCGCCGATCCGTGATGGAGTTCTGAGCATCGTACTTGCTGCAGAATGTCCTCGACTTTGGTTCCGTTGAAGTTGTCGCCAAAAACCTGGCGACGTGGAGGACAGGAGCAGCAGCCTCATCTGACTCAGCGAATGCAAGAACTTTGACACGAGCCTGGCGGATGGATGTTTACTTAACGATGCCGACAAACCCCAACTTATGGCAAGCTGAGGGGCCAGTGTCCCTTTAGACTCTTAAGGGATCTAAGAAGCCCTAAGAAGCCCTGCCTCACGTAGATCCTCCACCGAGATGACACCACTCCCATCCCGGTCCAAGCGCTTGAAAGCCTAGCGGGCAGGGGCTTCGATGTTTGGGCACCTTCCTCGCTGGACTTGCGTTGCAATGACATAATGAGATGGCTTCAGCCTTGGAGCTGTTGATTCGCACAGCCCCCTGCCCCCGAGTCTAAGCCTCCAGGCACCCTAACGGTCTGAACTATCTGGCCTGCTTGATCAAGGCCTCGTTGCACATATAGCGACTTCCGCCGACGGCAGCCATGAACTCGCCTCAATGACGATTGACACGCGACGCATGCCACGCAACACAAACGCGGAAGGCGCGACGCAACTGCAAAAACGGGCCGGGCTGCTGTACTCAATCTCATGGTCCCCGGTGATGTCGAGCTTGTCAAAGAGGACGTTTGCATCCTCAACACATCGGAGCCCGGCCCCAAGCAGCACAATGTCTTGCAGGGTTGCTGCGTTTTCCGAGATATATCGAGGGCATCCGAATGCCCTTCTTTTTCCCACAAGATATTCATCTTTCGATCCAGGGGTCGCCTAGCATGTTTCTCCGGCGGTGCTTTATCCTGTTATATTCAGAGCTTCACATTCTCACGATTCTAGGGGTTATGCCGGCTATGCACATGCCTCCATGAGAAGAAAGGCTGCTCGGGCGAGCGTCCTGTGCCGACATGCCCAGCTGCTTCTCAAAGGCAAAAGCCAGCTCAGATTTGAGGATGGTGCCGCTACCTGCGTAGCAAGAAGAAGGTTTAGGGTTTAGGGTTTAGGGCTTAGGGTTTAGGGTTTAGGGTTTAGGGTTTAGGGTTCAGGGTTCAGGGTTCAGGGTTTACGGTTTAGGGTTTAGGGTTTAGGGTTCAGCATCTCAAGTCCAAGCATTCACTAGTCAAGCAGCTTGTCAAGCGTTGGAAAAAAAAACACCCACCCAAGAAACCCATAACATTGAGAAAATATAAAGTTCACTCAATACTTTCCCGGTAGGCAAAAAGCTCAAAGTCCAATTGGTCCAAAACCCGAAATCTAAGGCCCACAATAGACCCCAAACCCTATGCCCCAAATCCTAAACCCTATGCCCCAAACCCCAAGAGTTCTAAACCCTATGTCCCAAATCCGATGCCCCAAATCCTACAGCCCTAAACCCTATGCCCCAAACCCTTTTAAGAGCCCTAAACCCTATGCCCCAAATGCCATTGGGGGGGAAAAAAGGTAAAACTATTTGCCGACGAAGGGGGTCAGGGTTTAGGGCCCCCCCGGGTGGAAAAAAGCCATTTGCCGACGAAGGGGGTCAGGGTTTAGGGCCCTTTCGGGTGGAAAAAAACAATTTGCCGACGAAGGGGGCCAGGGTTTAGGGCCCCCCCGGGTGGAAAAAAACCATTTGCCGACGAAGGGGGTCAGGGTTTAGGGCCCAGAAAAAAACCACATGCCGACGAAGCCCAGTCGGGTTTAAATATAATTACATAGTAAGAGAGGGTTTAGGGTTTAGGGTTTTGGGTGTAGGGTTCAACGTTTAGGGTTTAGGCCAGCCGCTCTTGGGGCATGTCTTCAACGACATGGGCCACATTCCCCGTGGTCCCGCGACTGGCTGCAACATGCAACGATTAGCCACACGATTTCTCTAGCTTCCCTGGATGACGAACCCTAAACCCTAAGCCTAAACCCTAACCCCTAAACCCCAAACCCTAAGCCCTGAACCCTGAACCCTGAATCCCAGGAGACGATGAACAAAACGCCTCCTTTATCCAGCTTCCGGAACTCGTACTCGAGGTCCGAAATGTCGGTGTCCCCAGCCATGCTGAAGGCTATCAGGCCAAAAGTCGCTCGCTTCATGGCGTTCCTGGGAGGGGGATTTAGGAATTTAGGAGCATGAAGCATTGTTACCGATAGCAATCGATAGCAATTCATGGTCCAATATGCTGGCAGGATGCAGTTTCTTAATCTAGTCACCATTAACCTGCGCCATAACTCGCAACCCGGGACATGTTTCTCTCTCCTCCCTTCGACAGCCCCCCTAGCCTTCTGCCGGCGTTCTCATTTTGGGCTTCCAAGCCCTGAAGTTAGGAACCAAAACCTGGGCAGCCCTAAACCCTAAACCCCTAAACCCGGTAAAAGTGTAAGGCGACTGCTAGAAAGGCGCATGGACGCAAACGCCCGCAGGTCTTCCAGAATTTTGGGGCTGATCAGCTCGCTCGACCCCTGCCGGATGTAGCCACCAGGGCCTCCCGCAGAAATGTGTTTCAAACTTTGGTTTCTCCTGCCTGGTTTAGGGTTTAGGGTTGAGGGTTGAGGGTTGAGGGTTGAGGGTTTAGGGTTTAGGGTCTAGGGTTTAGGGTTTAGGGTTGGATGTACCACACCGCAGGATTTGGAGATTCCCGGATAGGCAAAGTTTGTCTTCAGCCTCCATTCTGGCAGTTACCAGTTCAATTTGTTCCGCTCAGTCTGAGGAGAACACGCAAACAGCCAACCAAAATGTGAAACAACATCTTCAGGGCCCTTACACACCTGGCAGGCACGGCTTGGGAAGGTCCCGGTTGCACTGCATGCATTACATGCACTACATGTCGCTCAAGTTCCATACATCATCCACATCACCGCTCAATGTTAACTAACTCCACGGCCGTGCTGTTATCTCACGCTACCCTCTTCAGCAATCTACCCATGTCTGTCACAATTGGCGCACGGCAAAGTGCCGTTTGGCCTGGATTCCTGAATGCGGTCCCCAGGGTTTTTTGTCAGGTGTGGCCTTTTGCATGCACTGCTTTGGTTTGAAGTATGACTGGAAGGTGTTCTTTTCGGGCCCTGCAGTGAGCTTTTGCTCCCCTACACGAACCCCTTCGAATTTTCCATGCCATTGAGACAATTCAGCCTGCTACTTTCTTTTCTTCCACTCATCTGCCTCTGCGAGCCTGAAACGGTGCTTCAGAGATCCCAAGCATCTTTTCCTAGGCTCTTCAACCTCCACCCCCTTCCCCTCCCCTCCCCCAAGAAAGCCTGGCTGAGGCTGCTCCTGCAGCCACTCGTGGCGGCTGGCCTCGCGCGCAGCTGGGCGGGCCGAGACATCGCGGTCGAGCAGTTGCGACCTTAGAGGTCTCGGGAAGCACTTTTTTGCTCCGGAGGCGTGGCAGAAAATCGCAAGCACTGCCTCAGATGGCCAAGATCCCCACACGAAACTTTTGGCATCCTCTGAAACGTCGTCCCAGTTAGGACCTGCCACTGGCAGAGATTGGGCAACTGCGAACTTAGACATGTGGTTGGAACTGCTACGCTCATATTTTCTGGTTGGATGATGTTGGATGAAGATGCGCAAACCCTAAACCCTAAACCCGAAACCCTAAACCCTAAACCCTAAACCCTAAGAAGCATCGGATCTTTGCTTTTCGGTGGCGCTCGGTTCTGATGACATGGCCGCTGGGCCCTGTTTTGCCACTGGACCCTGAGGAAACATTAAGGGGGTATAAGGAGGGACCCCTAGAAGGGACCCTTCATCTTATTCCCCTATAGAACCCCCCCCCCCCCTAGATCACCCCTATATACACCTTATATAGGCAGGTCCCTTTTAAGGGTCCCTTCGTCAGTCCCTTGATGCCAGGTCACCATAGACATCCAGTGGCTCATGCAAGATCTTCTGCATTGTCCAGTCGTCGCAGTGGCTGTCGTAGAATGGGGGCTCTCCGCCGAGAAGCCTCAGATAGCAGGTAAATTGGCAGCGCTCCCCTAAACAAACCCTCAAGGCCCTAAACCCAGAATCCTAAACCCAAGATCATAAAACTCAAAATCCTAAACCCAAAATCCGAAACCCAAACTCCTTTTGTGACACCTATCTCGGAGACTGGAGAGATGCCTTGAGACTGTCCCTCTCACCTTGGGAGACTTCTTCCTCCGCATTGGGAGGCCGACCCTCCACTCAGCGAATGCAACTAGCAAAAACTCAAGATATCCAGAATCTATAGGCGCGTTCCAATGTTCCTGTTCTTTTTGTTGTCTTTCTTTACTTATTTCCTTTACGCATTTCTCGCCTTCCTTTCCGCCTTTGTTTCTGTCGTTCTTGCCTTGTTTCTTTTTTCTATGTCTCTCTACCGTCTTCTTCTGCTCTTTCTTCCTTCCAGCGCACAGGGCCCCCCAAGGGGCCGCCCCCAGGGACGTGCTCCAACAAGTCTGTTTCAGGAGATTCTGTTGGTGTGTGACTTGCGGGGCTCTCCCTTGCTCTCTCTTTCACCCCCTCCCCCTCTGACGCTCGTGCCGGAAGGCATGTAGACGATGACGCCCAAGCTCCACACGTCACATTTGTTGCTGTAGTTGCCTGCCAGCAACTCTCGGACTTCTAGTTTTGCGACAGGCTCAGACACAACGCGCTCCATGAACTTCAGAAGACCCCAGAACCCTGGGCCCGAACCCCTGAACCCCCCCAACGGAAATTTGGCCTCGGATGACTTCAGGCGCAATGTAGTAGATGGTGCCTAAGAGTGCCGTCATGGGTGTCTCCTGCTCCGATCCAGCTTCACTACACGGGGCTTGGATGTCGCCTCCTGCGTGGTTATGTGAGTTAAGTACCCTAAACCCTAAACCCCAAACCCTTTCCAAACCCGTTAAGTTCGGTGTATTTCGGTGCTCCGGCTCGCCCCACATCCCAGGAAGGCCTCTGTCTGCAGGAGCCACAGTTTAGGTTTAGGGTTTAGGGTTTAGGGTTTAGGGTCTAGGGTTTAGGGTTTGGGGTTTAGGGTTAAGGGTTTAGGGTTTAGGTACCAAACTCTGGCACTAGTCAACTATTTGCTTAAGAGAGTTTAGGGTTTAGGGGTTTAGGGGCTTAGGGGCTAGGGTTTAGGGTTTCACATGGGAAACGTAGCCCGGTCCTCTGAAAACTGCTTTGCGAAGCCAAAGTCGATCAGCTTTAGGGTCGAATCCACGCAGTTGTCCTTGTAGACCTCACATTTCATCACGAAATCCCACATTGGGAGTATCAGACCCCTTCACTGAACCCTGGGTGACAACTACGATTCTGCACGTCCTGCAGGCTCCGCCCAAAGGCAACCTCTTTTCCGAGCCCAAAGCCCTAAAGCATAAATTTCACGAGCCCATGCTGAAATCCGAGGCCTTCTCTTGCTTAGAGCCCGCTTGTGGGGCGCTCTGAAGGCTTTCAGTCCAGCTCAGATTCAGAGTGGAGTGGGGTTTCTCAAGGTTTGGCTGGGAGGCCCAGTTCTCCAGCTTGAGATCTCTGTGGCAGACATGATGCCAATGTAGATATGTCCTGACATTGCAGCAGACCGGAAACGACCTCCGTTCCTCTCGCATAGAAGCCAATCCCGAAGCAACCGCTTCAGTTCTCGGAGCAGCCAGCTTCACACTACTTCTGCGGGTGTTGCCACTCGCGCAAATGGCACGCTGCCTTCACTCATGCCGGGAAGCATCTGCTAGCTACTGCTACCTTAGCCTCGCCCAGCTCATAGCAACCAAGCCGCAAGGCGCGCAACATCTGCCTGCAAGAGACCGATGCAAGGGGCAACTCTGTACTTCTGCGAAGTGCTTTTTGGAAAGATTTGCAGTTCTATCGAAGTCATCAACAAAACCCGCCTCACTGCCCCTATGGCTTCGTCCTCGGTGAAGTAGCCTTCGACACATGAGGGAGGCTGCCGGCCCTAAACCCAAAACCCTAAACGCCCTAAACCCTAAACCCTAGACCCTAAACCCTAAGCCCTAAACCCTGCACGATCGCACATCGCAAACCCCCCAATTCAACTGCCTGACCACTTCCCTGCCTTTGTCGGCCCAGCGATCGTAAAGCTCGCCTCCAGCGCAAAGCTCCATCACCTGCTCTTCAAAACACGGAAGAACCAAATCGAAAGCTGCCCAATCCTGCTAATTGCTGAAACCCCTCAAAAAAGTAAATAGATAAAGATACTCTTGCACAAGGGGTTGTTCTCTTTTTTTTTTTTTTTTTTTGGGGGGGGGGGGTTCTTCAGCCAATAGTAGAATCCCCAGGGTTTCTCAGATTCTTTTCCAGCTGATGGGACTGATCTCCCCGTGACCCTGGAGTTTGACTTGATCTGCTGTGCTCGTGATCACACTACTTGGAGGTTCATGGTACTTATTAACCAATTATAACTGTACTTATAACCCACTTATAAGCCCCTTAAGTGCCCCAATATGGGCCTAAGCGCATGGGATTTCAGTGACACGGCAGGTTCTCTCCTCCCCGCTTTGCTGGCATTGCTTCTTCATCTAAGCGCAAGGCAAGATGGCATGCCCCGTCACTGACATACCTCAGCTAGAACCCAAGAACGCAGACACGATCGCTGCAAGAGCGAATTCGGCCGCAGAGGGCCATGCTGCGATTGGCGGGATGAAGGAGACACTGCGAAGATCTGCGAGCTGCGCGCTCTCTCCTACACAGTACTACACCCCAGCCCATCAAAGCATTCGCCTTTGGCCATGAGCCAAGGCACACTTGAAGAAGCTTGCACACGTTGGGATGGTCCAGTTTCCTGGCTGGCATCAGCATATTGTAAGCTTCCTGTCGCAAATCGCGGCTCTTCGTCTATCCATCGAACCGATGCAAACACCAAGACGCCAAACCGCAGCACCACCCAGCACGACGAATCGAGTTTCAACCGGTTTTTGCAAAGCCAAGTGGCAGATGCATCTCGGCCTCTTGCACGAAAGCCTCTGCCAGCTCTTCTTTGGCGATAACGGCACCTACGGTCGCACATTTCAAAACAAGTTGCGCGCAAAGCCTTCACTCAAAACTGCTGAGAGGACGAGCTCTGCGCAGCTCTCCACTTCAGACGCCGTAGGGGGGTTTTGATTGGCCCCAATCACCCCCAGCCCCCTTCCCTACCAGAAACCCTCCACCGTTTTTGCATCTTGCCTCATGGCTGCTAAACCCTAACCCTAACCCTAAACCCTAAACCCTAAACCCTAAACCCTAAACCATAAACCCTGTTGTAGGGCCAGCACATTTGACCGCGTGGCGCTCCCGCGTGTAACGGTCTGTTGCGGCCTTGACTTCCTTGGCTCTGAGGACCCAAGGCAGCCAGGACCATGATTGGGTCTAGGGTTTAGGGTTTAGGGTTTAGGGTTTAGGGTTTAGGGTTTAGGGTTTAGGGTTTTTTTTTTTGCCACCCGCCTAGCTGACACTGTGGCCACGTTGCAGGGACTAGTTCCGGGAAAAGGTGCGCACTCAAGAAGAAATTGCCTTTAAAGCCAGCATACACATATGCGGGAAACGATGGGGAGCCGGTACAAACCGAGGTGAGGAACCCCCAACTAAATAAGACCATCAAGGGGATGCAGCTAGACACAACACAAACCCCAGCCCAGTGGACCCCCATCTCTTCCCAGGAGAAAACTCCCAGGTCTCAAAGGACCTCAGGGGGGTGCCTAGCACCTTGGCACATTCACTCTGAAAGCGAAACACTCCAACATTCTTACTCAACCACACTCCCAACCATACCCCTCTCAAAGGAAGTGTTTCGCCACTCCTACAGGAGACATCACAAAGGATCGTCGCTTGTACTCCCTCTGCCTGGCCACATCAGCTCTTGTACAGTGGCAGCCCTGGAGCCCATCAGCGACTGAAAATTGACATAACTACACCAGAAACCCAAAAGACAGCAGAGTCCCAAGTTTTGTATGGGACAGAAGGGGCTCTCGAAGCAACACGTGCCAGACAAGACCAGCACCAACCCATAGTACCACATGGATCCCAACGATACTGAACACCACCACCGAAACAACCAAACAACCACATGGATCCCGAACAGATGCAAACAAGTGGGTCCGTGTTGCCGTGAGGGGGCCTTCCTAAAGGATGCACGCTCACTTTCACAGTGAGGCAGCTGGGGAGCATGGACTGCAGAGCCACTCCCACGTCTATGTACATCAGTTTTGGCCGAAATCACAGACAGGGCTTTCTGATAGTAATCATGACAAAACGAAGGTCAGCTACAGTGCCAAAGAAGGGTGTTTCAGAAAGCCCAATTCAAGGCTATACAGACAAGTCCTGCAAGATACTCCCGCCCGTACCTCAGCAACCCCAAACCACATCGATCCAAACAATGAGACCAGCCGGAACCCAAGCAGACCACAAACCACATAGATCCTAACAATGCGAACAGAGCATCACTGCGTTCCGCATCTCGCCGTGCACCCCTAATCTCGATCTGTTCTTGAAATGTGATGGCGTCAATTTAGCACAGGCCCCGCCACCCATTTCGCACACGGATTCATCATGCAGAGCCAACAAAAAGGTACGCATGCAGGTTCTCAGAGAAATGCCATGCATGCAGGTCCACTACAGAGGTTGGGGCAAACCACGCAGGCACTCTCATGCCTTAGAGGATCTCAAGACTTGCACGCATGCATTGAAATTGGTGGAGTACCCTACCATACTGCTCATGTGTCCGCGTTCTGAATTCGGGGATTAGCATGCTGCAAATTCGTCAAATTCTCTAATTACATGCATCACTCTCAGCTCCTCCTTCTCGAATTCGCGTGCCAGTCATGCCAGTCAGCGTCAACAACTGCAGGGTCATTCTCTCTCACCAATTCAGAGTCAATTCATCAAAGTGAATTCTTCGAATTCCAGACTTGTCTATGTGATTTGGCGCGTCCCAGCATGCAGTAGGTCCATACCTCCATCGACAAAGTGAATTCGCCAAATTCAGACCAAAGGTGTTGTCACCATCCAGAAAGTGTCCCACTCGGAAAGCGAAAACTCAGAATGCACCAAGTGACAGCATCCCCGTTGCGTAGATACACGCACCAATGCTCAGCACCATTGCTTTCTGTCTGTCCAGCTTTGCGTGGTCCACCCACTGGTTCTGCCTCTGCTATGAAGCCTCCCACACAGCCTCTTCACTGGTGTAATGAATGTTTCAGTGTCCTGTGGCTTACCCACAGCGATTCTGAAATTTCGCTCTTTGTCTTCTGACATAGAGCCTCCTCAGCACCAGTATTGTGTAGCATTGGCCTCCAAAGGCCTAGACCATGCACTGCGTGTCGTGGGGGGTTCACTCCCACAGCGTCAGGCACGTTGCGGGCAGCAGTCGTCACCACTATGGCATCGGCCGTTCCAGAGCACAAGGGCAGATTCCAGGTTCTCAGTGAAAGCTGTCGCGTGCAGAGGGCACCATGGCTGAAGAGGGAGTGACACCATTATATGTACTGCAGTCTGTTGTCCTCCAATCTGAGATCATGAAAAAACCCCTGTTCTCCTATTGACAAGACAGTAGTAAGACAGGGAGAAGGAAGAGCGAGCAAGGAAGTGAGAGAGGGGGGGGGGGTTGCCCTACATCCCAAAATTTACTCTCTCACTCACCCTGGTTCTGTCTGAGAGGCTCCCAAGTCACAATCTAAGGCGGGGCACCTTAGCCGAGCTTTCAAGTGCCAAACCCTCCAGTCCTGATTTAGGGTCCGGCGTCTTTCTGCTGGTGTCAACACAAAGAAATGCTTGTGCTTTCGTGCCTTCCGACCTACGGGCTCTGAGTTGGCTTTGTCGATACATGTGACCGGCTATGCAAACATCGTGGCTCGCTGCCTCCACTTGGGTCGGCGTCGGCTTGAGCCAAAATGGCTACAAGCCGACGCCGACCCAAGTGGAGGCAGCGAGCCACGATGTTTGCATAGCCGGTCACATGTATCGACAAAGCCAAGGGTTTAGGGTTTAGGGTTTGGGGTTTGGGGATTGGGGTTTGGGGTTTGGGTTTAGGGTTTAGGGTCTAGGGTTGGCTTTCGGGTATAGTCCTAACACAAGACTGACCGCGAGGGCACATGGTCTAAACTCACCCCTGTTTGCAAGCGACTCATGCGTTTTGTGCTGGCTGGGGTGCTCCGAAGCTTCCTTTCCCCAGGGGGTCTCCTGGTGATGCCACCGCAGTCGCTGGCTTCAGGGAGATGTTAAGGCGTTCTCGGTCTAGGGCCTATAGGGTTTAGGGTCAGGGTTCCTATACTCCCCTTAGAACCTAAATAAAAGTATGTTTTTGAATATCCTCTTGGGCTTTATATAAACAAAAGCTTTGAAAAATAATAATTCCCGAGGGGGATATAGGTTCAGGGTTCCAAGAGCAAGACAAGGACGCCAAAGCTGACACAGCAGTCCTGGAACAAAGATGTAGCGGTCTTCTACCTTGGCATCATACACGATGCGGCCCTGGTCGATGAAATTGGGAACGAAGCCCTCGACCTGTCTTTGTAGGGTTCAAGGTTTAGGGTTTAGGGTTTAGGGTTTCGGGTTTCGACTCTCACACTCGCACAAGGCCGGCAATGCTTCGGTTGGATCCTGTCTCTGAGTGACGGGTTTAGGGTTTAGGGCTTTTAGGTTTTTAGGCCTTCGACGAATTACTGGCGAACACGGGCGAGGCTGTTGAAGTCTGTGGGTCCAGGCCACTGGCGGCAACGAGGAAGTGTTCAGCGGCCCCAGGGCTACTACTCGAGGCTTGTCGGGTTTGAGAGGCTTAGGGTTCAGGTTGTTCCCCCTGAAACGAACAGCCCGTAATCTAGCAGGGGGTACTATACTATATCCCTGCTGCTGACTGCGAGTATAAGGGGGAACATCCCAAGGCTTAGGGCTTAAACCCCACACCCTGCCAACGTGCCATGTACCAATACCACAGAAGCCCTAGTCCCAAAGAACCAAAGAACAAAAAGGGAACCCAATCATATTCATAATAATAACTATAAGAACACTAATCATCTTGATAATAATCATCATCATCATAATCACAATAATGATTATTATTAACAATATTGATAATTTCTAATTTTCCTAATAACTGAAGTGCACCCAACGGGCGAAGCGCATGCTGCGCGAGCGCGCTTGCCGGATAAGGTTGGGCAGTAGCTGGCGCGTCTGAATCCGCGGGCTGTCCGGGTCGTTGAGCAAGCCTGCGCGGTCGTTGCAAAGCCTTTAGGGCGGGTTTAGGGTTTCGGGTTTTTTTAGGGTTTAGGGTTTAGGGTTTAGGGTTTAGGGTTTAGGGTTTTAAATGCATCCCCCTCGTTCATTTCTGTCACTCCGCGGCGTCAAGAGGTCAGATGTCATGGCCTTTCAAGCAGCCCAAAGGGGTGAGCCCAGACATCTTTCTCCAGCTCCAACAAGAGCATCCCGGTTCAACGTGGAACATCACCTGAGCGACAGACAGAAAGGCTTCGAGATCTGCTCACACGACGGGATTCGACGGTTCTTCGATCTTTTTTGGGGTTTGGCGCTGAGCAGCCATGCCCCTGGCCGCGCGCAAGTGGACAGGGCGATCGCTACCACATCTTGCCCTGACGTAAAGCAGCGGACAGAGCCAAATTCCCGCGGCAAGACTGGACTCGAACCCATGAAGACATGAACTTCGGGAGGTTGCGGAGGGGGGGGGGGGGGGAATGGGGGAAAGGACAGCTTCGGCCCTGTAATGGTATGATCCATCAAAGCCCCGCCCACGATTTTCTGCGTTTGTCTGCGGTGCCGTCAGCTGAAAGGCTTAACAAATGGAATGCAACCATCACGGCAGGCGGGCTGCATCCTTGCAAAGGCGTGCTCAGCGCCAGACGCTCGTGGCAGTATTGAAAGTCTCGTGGCACGAGGCAGTAAATGAGCAAGCAGGTCACAGTCGCTGAATGTCGCTCAACTGGCTAAACACTAGCTCTTACAACACAAGTCTACACTGAATCTACCACTTCACACGTTGTCAGATCACTATGCCGTTCGACTCCGTGCGTTCACTTCGTGGCTCCTGCTTCAAAGCGTGCATGCTGAATGTCATGAAAGTCACATCGGGCGAGCAGTAGCAGCAGTGTCACAGAATGGCGAAGCACCTTTCTTTGGCTTCTCTGCTTGGAGTTGGCCTACAGCTGGGTCAACAAATAGACGTCGTGGAACGTGGCGAATCCCATACTGAGTCACGGTAGATCATGCTACAGTACCTGCCCTGAACCCTAAACCCTAAACCCTAAACCCTAAACCCTAAACCCTAAACCCTCATCCCTTAACCCCTGCTCCTCTTTACCCATGCAACTCCGGCACAGGACTGCATCCCGTCCTCGCTCAAGCCTTGGAGACCACCAAGGGCCCGGTGTTGTCGCAGCAAGCCTCTGGGCCGGAGAAAGGGCTGAAAAGGTTCATTTTTTCTTGTTAGTATTACTATGACTATTACTATTGCTATTACTATTACTATTGCTATTACTATTACTATTACTATGACTATGACTATTACTATTGCTAGTACGATTACTATTTCTGTTACTAAGACTACGACTATGACTATGACTATGACTATGACTCTAGTGTTATTAGCATGACTATTAGTTTAACAAGTTCAGGTCCCACAGCTCTCAGATGCGCGAATCCTGCTTCACAAAGGGGATGCAGCTACTTAGATCGACGAGCCGATTGTGCAATGCTGGCCTCGTTGTACTTGCCGTGCGACCCATCACAGAGCCTACATGACCGGGGATGCAACGGCACAGTTTGGGATCTCAGGAGGGCTCGGGATGCATTCTCCACACGGCGCGTCAACACTCAAGGCTGCGTGCCACGAGAAGCCGCCCAGCAGCCCCCCATTCGCCGCGGTCAGCGACGAACGCGTGCACTAAGCTAGCGCTGCCCCAAACTGCGCCAAGGCGCGGGAACTTGCTGCTTCGCCAGCAACCTTCAATTGTGCCCACAATGTACGTGTCCATGGCCGCTGAAAGATGGGATAACCCACATGGGCGACACTATACATGGCCAAGCCACGGCAAAAGGCAACTTTTCCATTGCTGCCTCAGCTTGGGCAGCTCATGCTTGGGCAACTCGCCATGCAGCAGCCACTAGCCGCCAGTCGCAGTGAAGACGTCTGCCTAAACAAAAAGCCCGTGTTCTGCCCTCACCAAACCAACTTTGGGTCTCAACATCTCAGTTCGCGCAAGTAGAACCCGGTCCGCACACTGACAGCCAGATGGCTCTTGCTCAGCGAGTCCTCGATATCCTTCACGGTCATGACCTCGATAACCAAACCGCCTAAACATAATACTCATAATAATAGTCATAATACTCAGAAGAATTATAAGTCAAATTAATAATTCAATAACAATAATATTAATAATAACAACAATGAAAACAATAACAATAATCAGAATACAAAATGAGGAGCTTCTCCGGATTCGCCCACTACATTTACATGCAAGACATTGGAATTTCCTCCCCTTGTTGCATTGAGATGCCTTCAGCCCAAAACCCTGCTTAGGGCCCTGCAGCCCGGATTGCAAAGCTTGAGTTTTCCACTGCTCTTGAAATTCTGTGAACCGAGCCCCACAGCCACAAGCCTGAATATGCGCAAGGCTCCGCTCCTGAATTGAGCTTGATTTGGCTTTTTGGGGATGTTGAAAAACGAGCACGCGTGCGTGGCCCAGGCTTCAGAAAATTCTTGAGGCGACCCCGACTCTCAAAGCCCGACATCAGCCGGGAACAAACCGCAAAACCCTAAACCTCTCACTGCTCCACGGGTCTCTGGTGCTGGCTCGGACACGAACCCGACTGCCAACAAGCTGCTGAATTGCCCAGAGTCCCAGAGTGGGGTTCTTCGAAAATGTTCGAAGTCGGCAAAATTCTCACGCGCGACATCGCTTTTCTGCTCTTGGCGGCGGAATGCCACAGAGACCACATGAAGGGTACACGGGTGCATGTGGCAAATGAAACCACAAACGTGTTGTATGTCGTGTTGCAGGTTTCCAGAAGGTTTCCAACACTTCCTAAGCCTCAAACAGCTACGACACTTCAACACCAGAGCGCTGCAAGGACTGGCGAGGCTCCGGCCGTTGCAACCTTGGGTGAGGCTTTGTCCTCGGCAACTGTCCGCGCCTTTGACCCTACCCGATGACAGCTTAGTGCGGATTGCCCCTGCGGTGTGGGTGTGGTGGCCACATGATGTAACATACTGCCAAGGTCTGCAAGCAGCCCTAACATGTGCCTGGCAACACTGCCAGCAAAAGTCTGACATCGCTTCATACCGCGCACCCTCGGCATCCCCGAAGTGGCCATGCAGAAAGAAGTGGTGGCTAAGTTGGAGGTTAAAGGACAAAACTGCTACGAACTGGCTTGAGTCGAGTATCGATCCCGGGATTCACCGGCGTGGCTTTCACTGTGGCTTTCGCCAGGAGGAAAGCGGCCACGGCCCCAAGACCAACCTTTTGAGACTTTCACTGCTTTCCCAAGGGGGGTTTCCAAAGTTTGGGGTACCTTATTTGAGTGCTCTGTAAAAGGGAAGCCTACTATTTTTTGGTGTTTTTTTAAGGGGGCCCCCTATTTTCGTAAACCGCCAGACAAGAATTCGAGATGTTTGAGGGAATTGAAGGTCCACGAGCACATTCACAGGGCGGGCTGCAATTGCACCGGCCCTTCCTGGCTTCTCAGCAGGAACTACAGGAACTTTAGCGGCTGGAGCTTGGCCTTGGGTAGGACTCCCGCCCCGTGTGCGTCAAACGCAAAAGCGTCACGAGGGCCGAGCCCCAATGGCCAGCGACGTTGGATCCACCTTGACCTCCAGCAAGCTTGGTGGAAAAGTTTGGAATGAGAGTGGCGATGGGGAAGAGGCATAGAGATGCATATCGAAGCCTCAAAGGATTGGGAATGGCCGAGCCACCTGGTGCAGGCCCTTGTGGGCCTAGTCATGTAGTGATTGAATGCAGCCAGGATGCTGAAGCCATGATGCCCGGTTCTGAGGAAGATGCTTGCCACTTGGGTCGCTGAGGAGCCAAAGGTCTACGATGTTCACTCGCAGGTACACTGGCTAACTTGCACTGCGATTGCTTGGGCGGGCTCTAGACGTCTGACTTCATGTGGCGGTCTCCACACATGCTGCCGCAGCCTGCACAAAAGATGACCCTGACTCTGTGTTCGGCAGGCTATAACCCTAAACCCTAAACCCTAAACCCTACATTCTCCTGAGCCCACCCTTTGACCCAGCAGGAACCTCCACAATCTCCGTCAAAATGGCATCGAAAAGACCTCGCTCACTCGGTTTGAGCATTCAACCAACTCCCAACGTAGCCCTGGCAGGGAGCATGCTCGTCAAACCTAACTAAGTCTGCACAGGGTGTCATGAAATCTGCTTTAGTCCAAGGCACGCGTTTTGAGCTTATTGCTCTGGGCAACGACTCCGTTGCCGTGGACACCGTCGCACTGCCTTGGCAAGTTGAGACGGTTGTAGTGAAAGAGATAGGTCAGACAGGGGATGAGGGTTTAGGGTTTAGGGTTTAGGTTCCTGACGCATCCCCGTTCCTCTCAGGTCCTGGCCATACAACCGGCACTCCACTCTCCTTGACCTAGCATGCGCCGGCACACACGCTGTTGCGTACTTTGTCCCAAGAACGACAATGCAAGCTGCAGTCCTGCACCCCCAGACTCCGCACTTCATTGCTCATAGGGTTTAGGGTTTAGGATTTAGGGTTTAAGTTGCTGAGCTGTCAGCCGCTTGGATGTGGCCGGGGAGCATGGCCTGTTGACAGCCATACGCCGATACTCAAGACCCATTCTGACAGCACTCAAGACGGCCAGGTCTTGCATGCGGTAAGTGAACCCTAACGATCAAAGGACGATTTAAAAAATGCAAGGGAAGAGGGTTCATCCATCTACCTGGCGGGCACAACTCGGATGTGTTTTTCTCTGCCAGCTTTAGAATCTCCTCAAACAATCTACCACCATGGAGCCCTACACACATCGTCACACGCCAGCATGCAGACATCTGCCGCTCCTCAGCCTTTCCAGCGCCATAGCGAGTGATGAGCATCAGCCTGCTCTGATGTGCAGGTGGGCGCATGCATCGGCCATGTACCCACAAGGTCCAACCATGCAGAACTCCGAGTTGAAGTTGCCTGCCCTCTTCCTTGTTGGGGTTCAGAACCTCAGGCTATCTAAGCTGGAAAAACACAACTTGCAACTGCCTAGTAGGCCTTTTTTCAACAGACGTGACAAGTCGGATATCATGGCGGCATCCCCCGCATCCTCCACATCTTAGGCCGCTACGGTGACCAACTCTTTCAGCTCCTCATTCTTCATGGACGGTCCTTTCGTCACATGTGAGGCGAATCCGAAAGTGATGTGCCCACAGCCCGAACCGCTCTAACGTGTTGCAGTGAAGTGGAGGCCACAACGTTGCTTCTTTTCCAACGCAAGAGGCACAAGACGCCAGAAAACGCTAGATCGAGGCGCCGGCCAACTTTCACACCGATGGGGTTTGCAATCCCCCTGAAGTACTCAATGTGCCCCTTGGCAGGATTGCGCGTCACCCCGTCTGAGACAAACTTCAGTCCTTTGCATCCTGGGGAGCATGCGCAGTCAAGCTGTCTTGTGCGATCACCAATCCAGACCTTAAGTGCTGTGCTTGCTCGCTTGCTCTTGCTGTGACGAGTATGGGGTGGGCATGGGACTCCACTGTGGACTTAGGATACCCGCTATCCTCTGCAAGCTGCGGCCCACCATTGCATACAGGGCCTGAGGGAGGCCTGAGCAGCTGCACCATGCCCGGAGCATCCCGTGGGTTTGAGGTCCCGGCCAAGTGCGCACTCAGGTTATAGAATTTGGAGCCGGAAGGTCGCGTGAGGGATTCCTTGCAAGCCCCAGCCCTCGAACCGAAAGTTGCCACACAGACATGCCGCGTACTAGTGGGATGTTCTAGGCTGGTTTGGTGCGTTCTCCTCCAGATCAAGCTGCATGGCCTCGTGGGACGTGAAGAACCTTGGAAGTATCTTGCAATGGAAGCGACAGTGCCACAAAGATCTACAAAACGTGAGCTGCATGTGAATGAAGTTGAGCCGAACTCACAGGCCGCAAAGGTTGGAGGGTGCACTAAGATATCGTGGCATGGCCCCATAGAGATAAAACTGCATACATATACATAAGTAAAACAGACTAAAGACGCATGTGCGTATGTGTATATATATATATATATATATATATACATATGTGTGTGTGGGCAGTTTGACTTAATCTACCACCGAGGCTGCAGCTCCGATGTGTCGGCCGTGATCGGCTTGACGCTAATCGCCTTGCCGGGCGGTTGTTGCGAAGTCACGCCGCTTCAGGCAGCCATCTCATGGACACAGGCAGCAATGGAAAACAGTTGAAAAACTCAAAAATCCGACTTGGGGCTGCTGAGGCACATCTGAACTTTTGACAGGCCCCTCATGCCCCCCAGTGCTCCACTTGCAACTTCTACTTCTTCAAGGACGGCGCGCGGGCATCCTCGACGTAGCTGGTGTAGTGCCTCATGTGCACAAAAAGCCGGCGTCTGCAACTGCAGATTCTCTTTCACAGATCTGCGGACCCAGACTTGCCATGATTGCGGAATTAGAAAGCAGGGGGGCGGGTTCCAGCTCTTTCCGAGCCCGTTCAGGTGCTCACATATGGGCTCAAGGTGCACGAGGGCGCAAGCTTTGAGGCTCTCCCATGAAGCCGAAGCACTCAGATGCCTTGAGCTCGCTGACCTCAGGCTTGGGATGTCAACTGGAGCTTTAAACAATGGTGGGCTATCTCGGGGGATTGGGCCAACGTGGGGGAATTCATCAACTCCTTCAGAGTTCGAAGTCACAGCTGATGAAGAGAAGAGACTGTCATCTAGGGTCTGATCTCGGATCTGACTGGGCTAGAGGAGGGACACTAGAACTAGCTAGCACAGTGCCATTGCCAACTCCGATTGTGCGGCAGGACCTTCATCACGATATGTCACACTCCTCAACCCGCCTTCCTAAACGATTCGTCGCAACAACAAGATTGTTGAAGCATCGCAATCTGCGCCTAATCGGCTTAATCCCTCGCATGTCCCCACTTCCCACTGCAAGACCGCACAAAGGTCCAGGCTCCAACAGTCTGCAGTGGCTGGTGGTCACCGCTGGAAGCATAGCCCCTCAGGAAATTCAGCGTGGCGGCCGAGTGCCAGTATCCTGGACGTGACAGGTAGCGGGCTTGAGAATATAGCCATATGCTAGGGTAGTACTGTGTACCTTAAGAAGACGAAGTGTATACTATATTACCATAAAAATGTAACAATAGATTAATCTTTCACATAAACATACTATAATGCAATATAATGTTACAGCAACCGCGGCATGGTTGGACTTCATGAAATCAAGGCGTGCGCTCACAGCTATGGAGGGCAATCAGCACCATTTCGCCCTGCTCGCCATGCCTAGAAGGAGGCGTTCTGGATCCCACTTGCGGTCTTTCGGCTCGAAGCCTTTGGCAAATCGGAAACGCTGTGCATCCGCGCCTTGCATGCCTCTGTAGTCCCAAAGGGCCACACTGGCAGCATGATGAAGCTCTCACACGGTTGCAGACTGGCCGCCGTTGATATTGTCACCCTTGAAGCTCATAATCTCTCCGTGACCTCAGGCCCGTTGAGCACAAAATGCTCTGATTCTTGAAAAAGGGCTGCTGGGCGGAGGGTCATGGAAGATCCATGCGCTCAAGTGCATGTGAAGGACATCGCGACCTGCAATGGCCAACTCAGCATCATGAGGTTGTGGGGGCAGACTCCAGAGGCAGAGATTTGCTGGGACTCAAGGTCCCCGACCCTCGACCACCTCTGTTGGCTTCGAGCGGGGCTTCCCGTACTGTCCTGCACTGCAGGGAAGCACTCGTGCTTGCAACAACCCAGGATGCGAAACATTACTTTAAAATGGGGCAGGGCATGTTCGCAACGCAGAGCACCCAGGATCGCGCGGTTGCCTGCGACTCGGCAGATCTTCAAGGTGGGCCTGCGCTGGGTGCCTACTCGTGTTCTCCAGAAGCATACAGTGTGCAAGGCCACCGCTCCCCACTGCGAATCATGCAAAGTCAGACCCGTTGGTGGATGCTGAAAAAAAAGCACACAAATCCATGGTAAATCCCTAACAGCCCACTAGCCCTAAGAACCCTAAGAACCCTAAGAACCCTAAGAACCCTAAGAATCCTACTAACCCCAAAAAAACCCTCACAACCCCCCAATAAACAACAACTCAGCACGTCTGAGCTCGCCGACTTCGCGCTGATGTGCTCCACGATCATGCCTCCCGTGGCTTCCGCAAAAATCTTTCGACCATAGGGTTCTTGCAATAAGGGCTAAAGCCGTTTCGGGAATACTTAAGGGTTAGGGTTTAGGGCTTAGTGTTTAGGGTTCAGGGTTTAGGGTTCAGGGTTCAGGGTTTAGGGTTTAGGGTTCAGGGTGTAGGGTTTAGGGTTCAGGGTTGGAAAAGTGAGGGCCTTTTTAAAGATCCAGGCCCAACTTCAAGGCCTGCGCCCTAACCCGAAGCCCTAAACCCTTGCACCCCTAAACCCATCCCCAAGAAGCCCTGATGCTGTTGCAGGGCTGCCCAGGCACCCATCTGCAGGATGAGCTTCAGCTGCTGCTCCAGGCCTCAGCCCCAGTACATCGAGGACACATCGGGAGAGAGCAGGGTTCTTGCAGGATCTTGCTCTAGTTTACGCGAAGTCGCTGTCGGGAAGGTGTAGCAACAGTCATCTCATAGGGTTTAGGACCTTTAGGACCTAGGGTTCAGCAGCTTCGAGATCATCACGCCCATGGGCAGGCCAAGGAGGAGATGTGTTTGAAAGGGGAGACCCACGGACACGGCCACATTCTTGCTGCCCGGGGAGAGCACGCTCGCCCTCGCAGTCCATGAAGCGCTCGGCCTCAAAAGAGTGCTAAGGGCGAGCTGAGGGTTTAGGATTGCGCAGGGTTGAGGGTTTAGGGTTGTTTAACTTGGGAGGAGCTTTCCGGTCCTCCTGAATTCTCCCTTGCTGCATACCACTTCTTCGGCTCAGCAAGAGGCGCAGTCACCTCCTTGGACGATAAAGCGCTCACCTCTGCCTGCCTCGTCACGACACCAGAGCGCAGCCCGGAATCCCACAAAGCGTAAGACCGGATTGCCCCTAACAAGTACGCAGTCTAGCGTAACATCGAGCTTCTGGATATGAGCTAGACTGACACGCGCTTGAGGCTTGCTTCGGCATGTTGTCCGGCATTCTTACACAGAGCCTCTCAGCACAGGCATGCGCGATAAGCGGCATGCCCTGATTCGTTGCAGAGCTGCCGAGCGCTTGCTGGAATGTGAGTTGCACCCGCAAGCAACGCAACAGAAGCAAGGCCTCTGCTAAGAGCGCCTTCAGTCGTTCACACTCCTTCGGCTGCACCTAAGCCAACAACTCAGACCAAGCTGCTCCCGAAGGTGTACATATTCCATGTGTTTCCCTAACACACATACACACATACATACACACATACACACATACAGATATACATACTGTACATATGTATGTATATATATATATATACATGCTTCTGTATATATTGTCTGCAAGCGGTTGCCATAACCCCATTGGTGGCAGCTCCCAGCTCTCGACATCCGGACAAACTAGGCGATAGGCTAATGGCGGCAGCTTGCCGAGCTTGTCGAAGACCTGCATAACAGTCTGAAATAGTCTGCAGAGTCTACCTTGCGAGGCTGGACGGTGTGGACCAGATTCGATGCCCAACCAGCACGAAGTGATGGATGATGGCACACACAGCTTGCAGGGAGCCAGCCTTGTCCGCCACAGCCTTATCCTCCCATTCGGCCATCTGGTGCTTTGGCAAAGTCCTCAAACATCGGTGCTACTTGCAGCGCGCAGCACTCCAGTTAGCACCATCTGCTACCTACACGTTTACCACCTTTGGACCACTGCCTATTATCCTCCACCACTCCGCCCGAAGCCCACGGGTTTCGACTCGCGGTTGGTCTTAATTAGTTTGTTTTGTTTCGCAAGTTCGCACGCAGGGATTCATTCTGCCACGCCTTCAGCAGGAATGCCGTTATCGGTACAGCCTGCAACGCATCAAATAGCTCGGTATCCAGAAGCCTCCAGGAGCTGGGAGACCATGTTGCCGGCATGATGAGGACGTCCTCAGGGCAAAAGACATCACATAACTCGGCACCCGCGTGGTGGCTCAATCTGCATATCATTGGGGGCAGCGAGAGACCAAAGCCATTTCGAGTCAGGGTAAGCAAATCAGCATGAGCAGCAGCAGCAGCAGCGGCACTGTTTGAGGCCGCTGCAAGACTGAAGACAGAGGCGGAGCGTCTCGACTGAGGCTGTTTTCGGCTTGAGCCAGCAGGAGCCATTGCAGTGCACTGCTGAGTACCTTCCATCAACAACTCGAAGCCTAGTCAACGTACCCACATGATTGGGAAGCACCTCAAACTTCCTCTCGAGCCCAGTCAACCAATGTTCATATACTTCGATCCTCCCCACCTCAAAGCGAACCAACGTGGAAGCCATCCTGTCCCTGTACAGATTATTCAGGATATTTCGCTGCAGGGACTCTGGGACTCCGGACTGTGCGGGCTTCTTTGGGGGATGGAGACACAGGCCAAGAGTCTGGTAGCGAGGAGAACTGTTGGCTTGCAATCAAACAGCCCCACACCGATGGTGGGGAAAAGCAGGGGTCTAAATTCATCAACATCCCGGCTGTGACAAACCTTGGAAGTCGTGCAAGCCCTCCTCCACCTACAGCCGTGCCCACAAAGGATTGAATGTTCAGGGTGTTTAGGCTCCGGTAAACGAGCAACGCAGAGCTCATTGAACGGTCCAGCGATCTCGGCCCGTTTCCTTTGTTCACCCGATCGGTCATCAAACTTATTCTTGAAGTCGACTTCGGATGACTGTCTCGTCGCCTCAGGCTTCGGCTTAAACATGTGTCGTTAAATCTTAAATCTCGGCTTCGGTCGCACGATGACTTGAGAGCGCATGGCTTAACTGCCTCGATCGCGAAGCTATGCGAAGCTCTTTACATCAGCGCTCACTGCATGTTCCGTGGGTCCAGGGCCCACAGGTCCGGAACTGTAGCAACCCATATGCACCCATCGACGACACGAATTTTGGCGGTCATCGCCCTTATCTTACTCGAACTTTACATTTTTTTCTCGCATGATCTGACGGTATATATACATATATATATATATATATATATCGCGTTTTTCTTTATATTGTTCTATAGTACTTCTTGCTATCCTTTTCTTACCCTTCCTTGCCGGGATCCGCACGGAACTCCTCACGCTTCGTCGCGGCCATGGCCCCACGGAGCTTGCGCTGCGGCGCCGCCGCGAAAGCTTCGCGGACCTCGCCAACATATCTTTGTCTACATGAGGGGTTTCCGAAAGGGGGGATCTCGGCCCTTACTCACCTCATTGAGCTTATCTCGGTTTTGGAAAAGAAGGCCGAAATCCCGGCTATCTTGAATCTTGAATCTGGATCCGGGCCGTGTATTCAAAACTTGCAGAAAAGTGAATTGAGGTGAATAAGGATGGTGGTCCTCTCCCCACAACGCTGAAATCAAGTCTGCGGTGGTTAGGGTTTAGGGCTTTTTTGCCACCCGCCTAGCTGAGCCCAGAGGGCCACTCTGCAGGGACAAGTCGGGGACACGGTCGGAGTGCTTCGCGTTTGAGAGAGGGGCGGGAATATCAAAAGCCAGGGTTTAGGGTTTAGGGTTTAGGGTTTAGGGTTTAGGGTTTAGGGTTTAGGGTTTAGGGCTTTAAGGGGGGGTTTTGGAAGTTTGCACTGGGTCGAAAACATCGAGCGCGAAACGAGCCTTCTAACAGAAATTCCTGTGCGCTCAGCGGCGTTGCAGCTGAACCCTAAACCCTAAACCCCTAAACCCTAAACCCTAAACCCTAAAACCCTAAACCCTAAACCCTAAACCTTTCTCTCACAAGCATGAAATTTGAAGTGTGAGGGAAGCAAGCCACACAAGAAGAAGTCAGAATGAAGCTGCATAGATCTGGCTACTAGTTCTAGTTGCAAGCTATGTGCAAAATGATGTCGCTGCAGCCGTCAATGCAAAAACACGTCTGCGCGTCGAGAGACCTGTGCCATGTCCCGCCCTTTCTTCATACTGGTGTTTAAAAGGGAATGACGGAATTAGGCACCTTATATCCCCCTATAGCACTGTACCTTTCCCTCATTTTCAGACGAAGAACCAGGGGTCTTCAGAGGCTTGTCGCGTTGTTTTGCAAGTCTTTGGGGAAATCTACACACAATATCGTGGCACTGCTCGCCCTCATGCTGCAAAAATGCATGCATGACATGCATACCTGCATGCACAGCTTTAACACCATGAACACGATCTTGATTGCAAGATTGTTCCGCCCGAGGCGCGAAATCCATGGTGGACTGCCACGACTTGGATTTCGGATTCAGGACCTGACAGAGATCAACATGTGGCTTGCACATGCTGGGCACCGCTCTTCAAGAACCCAAGGCAAAAATCACGCGCATGCTCCTGGTTCTGTCGTGGTGCCAGATACTCTAGTCACCCCAATGCCAAAAGAATCAAGCCCAAAAGAAGCAGCCTCATAATGGCCCTCCTGCTTGATGAGATGCAGCTCACACGGGATGCCAGCACACGTGGCAGAGACCTGAAGTCCGCGCTTAGATGACAGATGAGAAATACCTCCTCTGTTGAAAGGAAGCGTGTGCATCTAACAGAATTTTCCTTTCAGGCTACAGAACACAGTTCATGCGTCTATCACATATGCACCCAAGGGCCAGAAAGCGGATGGACTGCTCTGGAGGTACCACATCATCCACGGAGCCGTGTACCAAGCCTGACAAATCCGTGTCCTCCCTCGGTTCAAACAATGACTGGCATTTGCCAGGTTGATATTGCATGACAATGTTCTTGCTTCGATGTTTTGTAACATGCGTTTCTTGTAGCGCTTACTTGACGGTAGGGCTTCTGTGATTTTACTATGATCTTTCTTTTTATGACCATCCTGTGAAACTATGCCAGGTGACAGACTGTCACTTTTCCGTCTTTTCACCCGTGTGTTTCCTTGAGAATGATCGGCAGAAGCAAGAAACCAAACCTACTTTTCTAGTCAAAGTGGCTTGGAAGCGCCCGTCACCAGACATGAGCAACTTTCGTCCCCTTAAAACCTAAACCCTAAACCCTAAACCCTAAACCCTAAACCCTAAAGCCTAAAGCCTAAACCCTAAACCCTAAACCCTAAACCCTAAACCCTAAACCCTAAACCCTAAACCCTAAACCCTAAACCCTAAACCCTAAACCCTAAACCCTAAACCCTAAACCCTAAACCCTAACCCTAAACCTTAAATCCAAAACTAGGGAAGTAATGACCTTTGGCCCGGCCTATGCGTGCCTGCGGAGCGACGCCTCTTTGAGCCTCGCTGCCTGGGATGTTCAGATCGACAGCGCCGGTGGAAGACGTGATGTTTTAGGGTTTAGGGTTTAGGGTTTAGGGTTTTTTTTTTGCCACCCGCCTAGCTGACACTGTGGCCACATTGCAGGGACTAGTTCCGGGAAAAGGTGTGCACTCAAGAAGAAATTGCCTTTAAAGCCAGCATACACATATGCGGGAAGCGATGGGGATCCGGGACAAACCAAGGTGAGGAACCCCCAACTTGGTTTAGGGTTTAGGGTTTAGGGTTTAGGGTTTAGGGTTTAGGGTTTAGGGTTTAGGGTTTAGGGTTTAGGGTTTAGGGTTTAGGGTTTAGGGTTTAGGGTTTAGGGTTTAGGGTTTAGGGTTTAGGGTTTAGGGTTAGGTTTAGGGTTTAGGGTTTAGGGTTTAGGGTTTAGGGTTTAGGGTTTAGGGTTTAGGGTTTAGGGTTTAGGGTTTAGGGTTTAGGGTTTAGGGTTTAGGGTTTAGGGTTTAGGGTTTAGGGAAGACCCCTTGGCCCACGACTTCTGTTACAGGGTTTAGCCGCAATGCAATCTAAGGATTCGTTTAGCTAATCTTTGACCTAGCCTCACAGCGAGCCCCTCCACACCCCTCATCATCCATCCCATCATGCGGGCCTCGCAGAGAGTTCACGCGGCATGGAGGCAGCATGTCAATCGGGGATACTTCTCGTCTCAGTTGCAAACCCCAATTCAGAACATCAAGGAAGCTCTACAACTTGCATGAGGTGCACCTCAACACACAGCAATTCACAGCTTCACAGCCCTGAAGGCATCGCTTCTGGAAGCTTGGGTCTTGCCCGAAGTGGCCGTGAGAAGGATTTTCGACCATTTTGACTACGACTGTACTTTGAGGGCTTTTTCTGTGAGGTGGCAGGGACGCCTTTTTTTTGAATGCAGCAGAGTAGCCGCAGGCTGTAGGTGTCGCGGTAGCTTAAGAAGCGCTGCACGGCACCGGCTCCACCTCAAAGGGGCTTGGCCGGGTTTCTATGCATCGCTTAGATACAGCTCCGTAAACCCTAAACCCTATACGGGGGCAACCGAAAGGGGAAAAGGGGAAGGAATCAACCCTTGACAGCTGCCTATGATATGAACTTCGCAGATCGAACCAGAAACAGAAGCACCCAACCCCAAGGGGACAGGCTAAGGGAGAAGGGACGGGACCACTACAACCCGTTAAACCCAACCCCAACCACACGGACTTTTTTAACAAGGGCGGACGGCTCTGGGCCATCTTGAGCCAAATAAATAGCGGGTTTTTTTGCAACCCTTCCAATACTACCTTTATACAAACTGCAGCTCCGCACTCCTTTGGAGATGCTGCAAACAGGCCAAAAGCTGTCTCTTCCTGACAGCAGCCAACTGCTTTTTGGACGTCCCACAGACGTCGCATCCCTTTTTTGGGCTTGCATATAGTGGTTTTACGTCATCCAGGACGATTGAATTAAATCTCTCGAAACCTCATTGGGTAAAACTTTCTACCATCAGGGATTTCCTAACCCTTGATGGTAACCACCATACTTTCAGCACATTGGCTGTTCCAGCGCACCTGTCTTCAGAAAGAGAAAAAACCACTCCAGCATCCATTCACACCATCCAGTCATCACTTCTTTTTCTTCCGGTTGGCGTCGATGCTTAGATGAAGTCGTAGCAAAACATGCTCCAGGTCCGACACTGTAAGAACGGGATCCAGTACACACATGAATCGAGGAGATCAACCCCTCTCTCTTTGCGTCTTCAATAGCTTTACAGGATTGCTCCAACTCCGCATCCACAGTGGTAGACGCTTGTGCATCCACGTCAGAGGAACGATCCTTTGCTTCAGGACCTTTCACCTTTGCCTTTCTTCTTCCTTGGACTTTGACCTTTCTCCATATTTTGCGCTTTGCTCGAAACAGCCGTCTTTGTGCGCGTACATGACGAGGGCTTTTCTTCTAAAACCACTGCCTTGGATGACGATCCACTCTTCTCAGTGTTCACAGGCTTCTTCTTGGGCTTTGGAACCAGAAGAGTATAGGGATCATCAGTTGCAGCAGTCTTCCTCTTCTTTTTGGTCTTTCTCACCTCCTCGTCCACGATAACCTCTGTCTCTGAGGTTTCCGGTACCTCTTTTTGAGCAGGAGTGTCCTTACTGGACTCCCTTTCCAGGGACCTCTTTTTGCCCCTTTTTGAATCGCTCCCTTCTTCCAGGTTAGCGCGTTGAAACCATATCCTCAACTCATTGATCCACTCCTCGACCTCTTCCAGCGAAATCTCGTATGACTTCACTATCTCGAGCTTGGAGATTGCGCAAGCTCTATAAAAAGCTATGGGCCGCATCGTGTTTGTTTTAGTTAAGCTATGGAGCAAGTCGTGTTTTGCCTCTGTGCTCGCCTCTGCCGGACGACCCCTCTCTTGAATGTAATGGTTTTTGGGAGTCGTCGTCATGATGATATCGATCCGGGGATTCCCGAAATTTTCGGAAAATTTCGGGAATCCCCGGATCGACCCCGGATCGACCCCAGTCCGGATATTCCCGAAATTTTCGGAAAATTTCGAATCCGGGGATTCCCGAAATGTCCGGAACATTTCAGGAAATATCTTGAAATTTGCCGAAAATGTCGGGAATCCCCGGTGTAGCCAAAAGAGCAGCCAAATGGAGCGGAAGAGGAGAGGGGGCATACGACGGCGCTGCCGCAGAGCCAAAATGAGGCCGAGCCCGTAGCCTTTTATGGAGGTATATATAAATAAATGAATTTAAAATCATCATTATTTTTCATCTTTGAAATAGATTTGTAAATCATTGAAAATATAGTACATCCCATATAGATGCTGCATTAGAAAAATATATAGTAATCGCGAAATTAAGCATCAGAGAATATGGGGATAAATAACAAAGAATGTGTAAAAACCTCGTAGATGAAACCGATGCCAAGTTTTAAATATAACCATAGTTCTTTTTCATATATATATATATAAATGGTTACTACAAATAATGATCCCCAAGTATACGCTATCTTCCGGCACAATCTAATTAAAAGCCAGCCGAAGCGACATATTTCCAAAATTCTAGATATCTTATAAACGAGAACAATCCAGCCAGGAGTTGCAACGAGACGTCTATAATACTAAACTTATATAACAACTTACATTACAAACGACCACAATCCAACCACAAGCCGAAAAAAAGCATTTCCATACTAAAGTTTGCACTACAAACTAACACAATCGAGCCAAGAGCCGAAACGAAGAATTTCCAATTCTAAAATTGAACGACGAACGAGCAGAATCCAATTCATTTAACTCTTCTAGAATTCTCACCCCAGTAAATGTTGTCGAACAACTAATTTTACAAATAACTGAAAAAAAACACCATATTCCTAAATAGCAAAATCCTTTGTAAGGGCCCGAATTTGCAATAAGGCACCCAAATGTCTTGAAGTTGAAGCTCTCACAACCACCTACCCTAAGGGAGATACTGCCTCTTGTTTACGCTTCTACATTGATCCTTTTCCGTCTTTGGAGTTTCCTCGGCTCATCTACATCTACAAGCGCAGATGAGCTCGCCCTAAACCCTAAACCCTGAAGCGTACCTACCCAAACACTTGAAACCTGTTAAAACCAAAATGGCTTAGTGTTGGCTCGAGGATTTCACACAGGGTTGAGGGTTCCTCATTTTCCGCAACAAGTGCGTGTAGAGCTCCGTGACATTAAAATCCAAGAACTCACCTGTACGATGAAAATTGGAATTGAACACGGGTGGTTTCAACTAAGGAAACCTGCATGCTGTGAATCGCGGACCATGGAAGCAAGTTACGACTCCGTCTGCGATGCGTGCGCAGGCTAAGAACTAACAAGCCGTGCATTCCCTATAGAGGCCTTGCTGCAACATATGAAGTGCCGCCAGCTGTGTGGAATTAGCCAACTGCCATTCTATTTCTGGCATGAATCGGTCCGCGCTAGGCCTTGCGGCCTCATCTCCCACTGAAGCAGCAGCTTTCAAACGCGCTGCTGGGCGCTCTACGTCGCCGTCGGATGCTACAGCGAGGAGGTGGCCGCCGTGTTCAGAGAACTGGGCAGAGGACCGCATGAGCTGCTAACTATTTCGGCCGATGCTGTCTGTGTTTAGGGTTCAATGAGGATATGGCTATTGCTGAATCATGGCCTGGAACGGTTCAAGAATTCGTCGAGGCTAGTCGAATGGAATTGCGTGATACACTTTAGGAGCTGCTGCGACATCATGACGCATGCGGTACTCCAGGTCCAGAAACTCCCGAAGGCGGCCTCTGTGACTCCAAACTCGCAACATGTCCTGCAGAATGAATCACGCAACCGGGATGCTCCTCCTCTTATTGCTGCTTCTCCGCTACAAAACCGATGAAGCGCGTGCAGGTCAAGCAAGGGAGTTCCAGACGCTTCAGGCCCCGCAAACTGCGGTACAACAACTGCATCTGGAAGGGATGAGGACCTTGCGAGCCCTTTATGCCTCCGGAACCCCTCGCCGCTGCAGTATCTGCATGCATTGCATGCCATCTCGTGCCACATGACGTCGGCCATTACAGGCGCATGCATATGAAGGGTTGGAACTACAAACGAGTGCGAGCAACTGCAGGCCATGTGTTGCAACATCTACATGCAAGCGCCTCTACATGGAAGGAATCAGTTGATTGTGAGAGAGAGGGAAGAGTGATCAGCTACATTGATCCTTTTCCGTCTTTGGAGTTTCCTCGGCTCATCTACATCTACAAGCACAGATGAGCTCGCCCTAAACCCTAAACCCTGAAGCGTACCTACCCAAACACTTGAAACCTGTTAAAACCAAAATGGCTTAGTGTTGGCTCGAGGATTTCACACGGGGTTGAGGGTTCCTCATTTTCCGCAACAAGTGCGTGTAGAGCTCCGTGACATTAAAATCCAAGAACTCACCTGTACGATGAAAATTGGAATTGAACATGGGTGGTTTCAACTGAGGAAACCTGCATGCTGTGAATCGCGGACCATGGAAGCAAGTTACGACTCCGCCTGCGATGCGTGCGCAGGCCGTGCATTCCCTATAGAGGCCTTGCTGCAACATATGAAGTGCCGCCAGCTGTGTGGAATTAGCCAACTGCCATTCTATTTCTGGCATGAATCGGTCCGCGCTAGGCCTTGCGGCCTCATCTCCCACTGAAGCAGCAGCTCTCAAACGCGCTGCTGGGCGCTCTACGTCGCCGTCGGATGCTACAGCGAGGAGGTGGCCGCCGTGTTCAGAGAACTGGGCAGGGGACCGCATGAGCTGCTAACTACTTCGGCCGAAGCTGTCTGTGTTTAAATTTAGGGTTCAATGAGGATAGAACCCAGTGAGGGAGGCATGGCTATTGCTGAATCATGGCCTGGAACGGTTCAAGAATTCGTCGAGGCTAGTCGAATGGAATTGCGTGATACACTTTAGGAGCTGCTGCGACATCATGACGCATGCGGTACCCCAGGTCCAGAAACTCCCGAAGGCGGCCTCTGTGACTCCAAACTCGCAACATGTCCTGCAGAATGAATCACGCAACCGGGATGCTCCTCCTCTTATTGCTGCTTCTCCGCTACAAAACCGATGAAGCGCGTGCAGGCCAAGCAAGGGAGTTCCAGACGCTTCAGTGATTCAGGCCCCCCAAACTACGGTACAACAACTGCATCTGGAAGGGATGAGGACCTTGCGAGCCCTTTATGCCTCCGGAACCCCTCGCCGCTGCAGTATCTGCATGCATTGCATGCCATCTCGTGCCACATGACGTCGGCCATTACAGGCGCATGCATATGAAGGGTTGGAACTACAAACGAGTGCGAGCAACTGCAGGCCATGTGTTGCAACATCTACATGCAAGCGCCTCTACATGGAAGGAATCAGTTGATTGCGAGAGAGAGGGAAGAGTGATCAGCTACATTGATCCTTTTCCGTCTTTGGAGTTTCCTCGGCTCATCTACATCTACAAGCACAGATGAGCTCGCCCTAAA